CCACCCCTCCCTCTATCCCCACCCAGGCTGCACCTTGGAGGGCCCCCTCCTCTTAGCCTGCTCACCCGCCACCTGAGTCACAAGAGCCCTTGGGTGCCCCGAGGATGAGGAGAGCGAGGGTGGAAGGCCGCCATCCGAACCCCCACCCGCACCCCCGAGACGCAAGGCACAGAAACCGCGCTTTTAGCCCCTCAGCTCGGCGCGTGCCCGGGAGTGTCTGGTGCTCCCTCGGTCCCGGTCCTGGTCCCGGTCCCTGTTCGTCCCCGTCCCCGAGCCAGTGGTCACTCACCGCGCGCCGCGCCGCCAGCCCGCGGGCCGGGTCCGGAGGTGGCGGGGACCAGATGGCCCGGTCTTTCCGGCCGCACGTGTCCCGCTCGCCCAGGGCGCTCCTGCGTCCTGGGTCCCTGCGCCCCCACAGCGGACTGACTCCGGGCAGGTGGGGACAGCACTCGGCCGCGGGGACAGCCAGGACCGCCTCGATTGTCCTGCTGTTCGCCGCCCCTCGGCCGAGCGCCCGTGCTCCGCAGGCAGCGACTGGACGGGCCAGGGTGGAGGTCTGAGTCTCCTGGGCTGTGCCGATGCCGCTCCAGTAAGGTTAGTGTCTCCTGCCTCAGTTTCTCCTGGTACGAACCCGCCCTAAGATTGCTCGAGGGCTGGCTGAGAGAGCACCCCGAAGTGCCAGGCAGGCAAAATCATGGTCTCCGCGTTCTCAGCCGCGAGAAGTGGCACCTCGGTGACGCTTATCGCAGAATTTCCTCAGACATCTTCCTCTGTGTTCGCTGGGCCCTCCCAGCCCTCACCACACTCGCCTGTGGTCTAAGTGGCCTGTGGGGGTAGAAAATGTTATCATTCTCCTTTACATTTGTTTTCTAAGAAGAAAAAGAAAATGGGGGGGGGGGATTAGCATTTAATAATAGATGGCATTATAGTGGCCCTAATTGGCCCTAATTGGGCCACTTGTTCTAGAAACAAAGTTCAGAGGAAAGAGGAAAGTTTTCAATAATGTAGAAAGGTTCATTTCATTGAACCTTGCAAGTCATCTACCATGAGTGATTATTTTAGTGTCAGTAAGAAATAAAATGGTACCAAAGAGAAATAAAAATAGATAAATGAAAATAAAACCTCATACACTATGACACAATACTTTCCTACCATTTAGAAGCTTTTAAATGGAAGTTCCTTTAAAGGAATTAGTTATTGAAACCTTTTCTTTAGATAGATTTATTTAGACATCTGAGTATTTGTTTACTGTCTACTGAACTTGTGGGTTCAAAGAAAGGAAACATGTAAGCAAAATTAATTGACTGAGATATTCTTTATACGTCTCCCCACAGAGTCCAGCACTTATGATCTGTTTCTTGTTTGGCTTCACTCAATATCCCTCTGGGAATCATAGAATGATCCGAAAACAGCATTTGTTCAAAGAGCTCTTTATTATTATCCCTGAGGCATTACTGCACCCCAGTTTTCCTTCCTGACCATTCACGGGCAGTGCTCACCCACTACATCACCCTTGATACCCGGTGAATCATATGAGACTTCTTGAATTTGGAGATAATAAATGTACACTTGAGAGTTGGCAGTTTACACTTCATTGCTTTTATGGGCTTGAGATATAAGCCAGCAATTTATCTGCCTGAATAAATTGATAACAAATAAGCTCAGTGTTGCTAGGTAATGAGAGAATGAATCATTTATCGCAAAGTTAAAAGAGCTGTCACTTTGCTTTTTATTTTGTTGTTTTTAAATAAAAGGCAAATATTCTAAATTTGTTCATCGTTTCTGTGTTGATTTATAACTTCTAAGGAGTATAAGGTAAGCAAAAAGTACTGCTATAAAATCATAGGCCCTTTATTAAGTAAAGGTATCAACATGTGAAGCTGTTTCTTCCCATACCCTCCATGTAGTTCTACATTTCTGAAGGTCGTATTTCCATCTCGCTAACCTTTCTTCAAAGAGTTCTGGGCTCTTGGATTTACACTACATCAAAATGGCAATTTGGGAATCCCCAACAAGGAATGGGTTCAAATCTTGTTTTTCAATGTTCTGAGTTTGTGGGGGAGAAGAAATCAGAAGGAGCAAGTTCTAAGCCGTAGGGTAAATGGGGTCTGGTTCCCCAACAAGCGTCTTGTAGACAGCCCTTGCTCCCCTCCCAGAATGAGCAGACCACTGTCCTCATGAGAACCCCAAATCCCTTAGTGCTGCTTTCCTGACCTTTGTCTCACCAGTGCAATTTTCAATTTTCTTAGAACTTCTTCCTAATAAGCCCTTGTGTCCTTTGAGAGATTCTTTCACGAGTACCCCCTTTGGAACCCCAGTAAACAGTCAACATGACCTTCTGAGCTGACTTCTCTTCTTTGAGTTGAACTGGCCCCGCTGCTTCACTTGGTTAACACTGTAGTAACTGGATTTTATTTATTTATTTTTATCATTTTATTAGGGGCTCATACAACTCTGGACTTTTATTTTAAGTGGCACTTTAAGGAGACTAAGACAAATGAGAGAACTTGTTTGCAGCCATCCACCAGTCACGAAGACATGTTCAAAGTCGGTTTAGAATAAACCCATGGATGTAGGAACCAGAACTCTAGTAACAATGCTTTGTTGATTTACCTTTGTATATCACCTAATACTCTAACTTTTTTTTTTCTGAAAAAGAAAATCACAGGCTTCTTTATTTCCTCAAGGCAAAGCAAATCTTTTAACTCTGAGTGAGAAAATGTTATGAAGAAAGCATTTTGAATATTTCCCAATGTTGCCACTATTGTGTTTCTGGTGCTGAAAAGTGTGCTAATCTCTCACCTACAATAAAAATTCTGGAAACATTTAGAAACCATTTGCCAACCTGTTTCAGTCTTCCAGATGAAAATGTCAGTGGGTTGTTAAACAATATGAACAACAGCTTCTGATTAGTATGAATTGGTAACTGAGGGATGACAAGGATAATTTATCTATAGCAGACACATGTTGATAAATAAGACTAGGATAGTTCATAGATTAAGTTATTTTATAATAATTTTGAGTGAGAAAACATACTTTAAATTTGTTAATAAATAAATTATTCCAAAATAAATCTTCCTTTTTATTCTCATATGAAAATGTAATACATGTTTTTGTGTACGCTTTGCATTGTCTGCAGAATTTTAAAGTAAATAATAGCAACGACAATAATGGAACATTCATTGGGAATGTACTTTCAAAGCCCCTGTTTTCACATGAAGGAATGTGAAAATTAAAACATGGAAAGGCCACTAGTCTATCCACTTTTAATTTCAATCACAATATCTTACAACACCGCCAGGTTACATAAGGTGATGTTCCATTTTCTCTGGAAGGCAAGATGAGAAGGTGGTGACAAGACTTCACCTTGGTCATAACCAAGGGACAACAATTACCCAAATATGTTAAGATGCAAGCTTTTCCCTCCTCCAAATGGGAATAAATTGGAGGGTGCATTATTAAATAAATATGCATTGGGACAAATGGCTGACCTTATAAGGTCCTATAAATAAGTATTGCTAGAGGCTTACCTATCAAGGGAAGACTTGGACTAAGCGTTAGTAAAAACAACAATCCTCTTGTCTTATGTCATCCTTAGATTGCAGTCTGTGAGTTCAAAGATGACACATTTCTTGTTTTACTTCATGTTTCCCAGTACCTGGCCAAGAGCGCTATCAATATGACAGTTTTGTCTCCAAAATTGGCTCTTTCTGGAGAAATCTCACTCTCTTTGACCCATGGAGGTTGGAATTGTTGGTGAAGCTTCAACACTTGAAACAGAGTTAAAAATGCACTTGGAAAATTAGCAAGTCAGTAATCCTTCCTTAGGACTCTAAGAGCTCTAGAGAAGTTTCTTTATTCCTTCTCCTTCTTTCTTCCTTTTTCTGCCTCCTCCTTTTCTGTATTGCTATTAGAATATTGCCTGTCTAGTTAGGGGAAAATATTCTTGCTTCTGTATTTTCAGAAAGAGAAGCCCTAGGCAATGATGAATGCTTAGTGAAGCTGGAGCCCAACATACAAACCCAAAGGTTAAGATATACTTGTTTGGATAATTAGGTGAAGGCTACTGGGGTGAGACAGCTTTCTGTGGAGTTGAAATTAAATGAATGCATTTGCAAATCAAAAGCCTAACTAGGCAGATAACCACAGTGACAGTGACAGAGCCTTTTCTAGGAAATAGTAGTTCCGTTTCCATTTCTGCTATTTTTGCATTTCTTTAAATGTCTATTTTGGTTCATTCTTGATACCAAAAGTCCTGAAAATATTTCAACACATCGTTACTGAACAGCTAACTGAACTCTGTTCTGCTTTAACTATCACTTTCTGGAAGAAATGTCAAGAGTTGATGGACCCGGAGAGTGATTTAGGGCTGCAGACACGTGCTCGCACCAGTAAAGGTTGGCAAGAAAGTTTGGGCATATATTTTTACAGTTTGCTTGTAGGAATGACAGCATCAAAGACCATCTACTCTTCCTTACTTTGCCAAAGTTTCATTCTAATAGTTTTCACCTAAGTAGGATTAGACTTATCTGAAGTGTTACATTTATAGGACTTCAATATAACTCTAAATATACTTCCAGTGTTATATGCTAAAAAGATTAATATAAAACACGCACTGCGAGATTCTGAGATTATCAACAGTCTCCAAAGATTTTTTAACTGCAGAGCGAGAACTTTTCCAAGGCCGACACTGAGCAAGCACAAGGTGTTCATAGGGCAGCGCTTCTCAACCTGTGGGTCGCTTTGGGGGTTGAACAACCCTTTCACAGGGGTCGGCCAATTCATAACAGTAGCAAAATGACAGTTACGAAGTAGCAATGAAAATAATGTTATGGTTGGGGGTCACCACAATATGAGGAACTGTATGAAAAGGTGGTGGCATTAGGAATGTTGAGAACCACTGTCCTAGGTGAACAAATCGCATGTAAAGTGCCATGGCTTGAGTAGGAGCAGTATATTTTCTTTCTTCTTTTATTTTTAATCACTTTATTGGGGCTCTTACAGCTCTTATCATAATCCATCCATCCATCCATTGTGTCAAGCACATTTGTACATATGTTGCCATCATCATTTTCAAAACATTTTCTTTTTAATTGAGCCCTTCTTATCAGCTCCTCATTTCCCCCCTCCCTCTCCCACCCTCCCTCTTTGATGAACCCTTGATAATTTATAAATTATTTTTTCATGTCTTACACTGACCAATGTCTCCCTTCACCCACTTTTCTGTTGTCTGTCCCCCAGGGAGGGAATTATATGTTGATCATTGTGATCGGTTCCCCCTCTCCTCCCCCACCTTCCCCTTCCCCACCTGGTATTGCTACTCTCATTATTGGTCCTGAGGGGTTTATCTGTTCTGGATTCCCTGTGTTGTGAGCTCTTCTCCATACCATTGTACATCCTTTGGTCTAGCTGGATTTGTAAGGCAGAATTGGGGTCATGATAGTGGGGGGGAGGAAGCATTAAAGAACTAGAAGAAAGTTGTATGTTAAATTGGTGCTATACTGCGCCCTGACTGGCTCGTCTCTTCCTTGTGACCCTTCTGTAAGGGGATGTCCAATTGTCTACAGATGGACTTTGGGTCTCCACTTGACGCTCCCCCTCATTCACATTGATAGGATTTTTTGTTCTGGTTCTTTGATGCACGATACCTGATCCTGTTGCGAACTCATAATCACAAAGGTCTGTGTGCTTCTTCTATGTGGTTTGTTGCTTCTCAGCTAGATGGCCGCTTGTTTAACTTCAAGCCTAAGACCCCAGGTGCTATATCTTGTAATAGCTGGGCAGCATCAGCTTTCTTCACCACATTTGCTTATGCACCCATTTTGTCTTCAGCAATCGTGTTAGGAAGGTGAGCATCACAGAATGCCAGGTTATTTGAACAAAGTGTTCTTGCATTGAGGGAGGACTTGAGTGGAGAGGCCCAATGGGAAGACTAGATTATTTTAGAATAAATATTTTTAAAATCAGGATTGGAGGTAGTGGGATATAGGTTATTTCATTAAAAATACTCTTTAGTGCTTGATTTTGATAGTTTCTTTTCCCTTCTCTCTTAGCTATTTACTTGACCTGATGTTGGTTTCATTTTACAGAACATTGTTGGTCTACAGGATGGATTCTCCTTAGGAGAAATAGAATTCTCCTTAACAAGGAGTATTTTGTATATATTTCAAGGCATTTGCCACTTTCTACGTGCAGAATTGTCACCCATCTGTGAGTTTGTTGCACTACCTTGGCTCATGAGTTGCTATGAGGCTGGAAACTATGCCATTGGTATTTCAAATACCAACAGGGTCACCCATGGTGGACAGATTTCACAACAGCTTGAAAACTGAGAGAGACTACAGGAAACAGCGTGGTGATTACCTTTCAACAATTAACCAATGAAACCCTAAGGACCATAAGCAAATGTTGTTTGATACTCTGCTAAAATATGGGCCCCCTACGTGGGAAGGCCCTCAAGCCACAGCATGTACACCAAGCAGACTTGAGCATACCAGTAATGGTGAAGGTGCTATGGGACTGGGCAGTGTTTCATTCTGTTGTATGTGGGGTTGCCGTGAATCAGAGAGGCCTTGACAGTAACAGCGCGCTTATTTTTGTACATATCCCCTCCCGTCCACTGGACAAGTACTCCCGCTGAGTGGCAGTGTAATTAGAAGTTTTGAGCATAGGCTCTTGCCGCTGACTAGATTCTAGTCCTAATTCTGCTATTTACGAGGTGGGTACACTCATCAATTTGTTCCTTGGTTTCCTCTCCTGTGAATCTGGCCTGATAATGGCATCTCCCTTATAGAATGATTGTGAGGATTAAGTGAGTTAATTCATGAAAAAGGACATGGTAGGGTTACCTGTGAAACTTTGTGAATATTAACCATTGCTGTGATTTTGACAGGCGAACTGAGT